ATTCAATGCTTTCTTCATGCTCAAAGTACCAGGCAACTCCAGAAAACTGTGACCCATTTTCAAAGCTTTAAAACAGAAGTTGTGTTTTTTTCTGGATGGAAACAGGGAGAAGATATTTTCCTGATCAAGGCCTCGTCCTGATCGGGTTGTTCTGGTACCTGCACAGCCCTGTCATGGCTCAGTTCTGGCTTCTTCTTAAGCTTCTTCTCTAAGTAGCTGTTGGCCTCCGTCTGTTTGGCCCCGACTGCCGTAGCTCTGAAGCCACAGTAGTACCCCGCCGGGTCACATTTATAGAGGACGGGGCCCTGCTGCGGGTCTATAGCCACCAGGATCATACCTAGAGCGCGTCAGAGGACAGAGAGCTGCTTTAACAAACCAAAACACAACCTTTTTATTTTATGAACAAAATAAAAGCCTCCACTCACAGCAGCCTAGAGGTCTCATCTCTGCATTCTGTGTGTACACCTGGGAAATATCCGCCAGCCTGCGACACAGCACGTCCGCCGTGATGTCATAGCCAAACTTATATTTCCACTCTCCAGCCTCCACCCGGGCTCGGTGAACCTGTGAGCGGCTGTCCGCTGCAAACAACATACAAGCTTGAACTCCTTAGCTGTTAACACGGACGCCTTTTTAACGATTAATGACACCTGAACGCACCGTTGTGGCCGGTCATCACGCAGCCGATGCGAGGGGTAAGGTGGAACATGTTGGTGACGGTGGAGGAGTCCAGCAGCTTGTCCTGCAGAAAAATCCACTCACATCAGCTTCATCTAGGGTCATACATCACTTTCTAACTGCTAATTAAATGGGATCTAGAAAGGTTGGATGTGACACCAGGTTCTTCGGTGTAGTAATGTGAGAACCTGCCTCTTTATAGGAGCTTCTGCTTCATGCATCTTGTATCTTGTTCCATTTTTTTTTGCTGACTTGAGGAGCGTTTAGCTTCACTGGCTTTAGCTGCTCTGTGTGTTTGTTCGTGTCAGATAACCTACCGGGACTTTCTTCTGCGTGACCACCACAACGCTGTCCGTCCCTCTGACGCCGACGGATGTCAGCCCACTCTGAGAGATGGCTTTGAAGGCATATTCTGCATGAGATCACAACGTTAAACAGGATGAGAAAAGGAAAAAAGTTTTTTTTTTTACAGGAATTTTCATTGATCCGATTGCTGTGGATATAGAACAGATGGTGTTGAAGACATTGAATACAAGAAGGAGCAGTTTTTTAGAAACAAATAAGGATAAAACAGTTGAACTAGCCTGTTCATTTTCAGCTGATTATTAAGAACTCTTCACTAATGCAGGACATCTCTAATCTGCTGGTGAAGATTCTCAATCATCCAGGTCAAAGTCATTCCAAAAAAGTAAACAAAAACAATCCACTGAACTTTGTTTTCCAGTTTGAAGATGTTTCGCTTCCCATCCAGGGTGATTTTTCGATTCAAAATGTAAGAATTAGCATTGAATTTGAGGCTTTATAGAGTGGACCAAAACAAGGCCTTGTTTTGGCTCAGAAAACATGCTAATTGAAACAGAAGAACAGCTCCACCACTTAGGAAAGGAGGTTGTTTGGGTTATTTGTTAGTCTATAATACCGATACCTGTCTATGTCTCTGAAAGGAGTGTTTTTAGGGGGAATTGTGGCCTGACTGAACAGGACCTCTGTAAGAGGGGTTACGATGATAGCTGGAAAGAATCAACTCAATTGCTGCATTGTAGGTTTTTGAAAGCTGCAACCCGAGTCCACCCTCACTCTTTAAGATTGTTTTTTTCTTCCTTAAAGGGGAACGCTGTTTTTTTTTTTTTTTTTACATTGGCCCCTTGATTTTACGTTATTATATCATGTTCTACTCACCCATGAGTTTTGTGTCAGTTGGAGCTGTTCTGAATATATTCGGTTAGGTTATATCCAAGTAACGTCTTCCTATGAGCAACGAGTTGAAGGCACAAACTAAACTGTTCATAATTTATTATTTATGGTACGCCAGCATTCATAACATGTAGGCCAATCACTGTCCCCCAGACATCCGCGGTTATATTTTTTTATATTTATATGTTTTAAAAACATCAGTGTATATGATGTCATCAGCGTGCGCCGGCTACCATTCATTCATCCTGTCCGCTGAACTGCTGCTAGTTTTACTCACATGCCTGGAAGATATCTAGTGCTGCTACCACAGATCTTGCTCTCAAATTGGAATTGAATGATTCAGATTAGCTAGAATGAATAGAAGGACAACTCCAGTCCGGCGGACGGATGACGTCATACACATGCCGCTTTGTTTTAAAAAAATATTAATATAAAAAATATAACCGCGGATGTCTGGGGAACAGTGATTCATCTACATGTTATGAATGGTGGTGTTCCATAAAGAATAAATTATGAACAGTTTAGTTTGTTCCTTCAACTCGTTGCTCATAGGAAGACATTACTTGGATATAACCTAACCGAATATCTTCAGAACGGCTCCAACTGACACAAAACTCATATGGGTGAGTAGAACATGATGTAATAACGTAAAATCAAGGGGCCAGTGGAAAAAAAACAGTGTTCCCCTTTAACATAGATGGCTTCCTTCACGCCCCTCTCAAACCACCTAATTTATTTGTCCAAATTGTGAAAATTCTGGTCCTAAAAATGTCCTTTGTCCATAAGGTCCATAAGGTGTCCAGTAGATGTACTGCAGAGTCTTGTCTCCCGAGGATGTCGCTCCCCTTAGTGTTGGGCCATGCGTCTGTGAAAAGGTTGTTTGGTTCCACCAATATAAAGATCAGAGCATTCCTCACTGCATTGAACTGCATACACCCCTCCGCTCATTTCAGTGATTTTAATTTTTTTTTTTTTGCACCTAAATACAAATCAAGCTGTGGGCTTTCCTTTTCTTCATATCCAGCCACTCTGTGGTATTTTGGCTCATGTTNGATGGAAACAGGGAGAAGATATTTTCCTGATCAAGGCCTCGTCCTGATCGGGTTGTTCTGGTACCTGCACAGCCCTGTCATGGCTCAGTTCTGGCTTCTTCTTAAGCTTCTTCTCTAAGTAGCTGTTGGCCTCCGTCTGTTTGGCCCCGACTGCCGTAGCTCTGAAGCCACAGTAGTACCCCGCCGGGTCACATTTATAGAGGACGGGGCCCTGCTGCGGGTCTATAGCCACCAGGATCATACCTAGAGCGCGTCAGAGGACAGAGAGCTGCTTTAACAAACCAAAACACAACCTTTTTATTTTATGAACAAAATAAAAGCCTCCACTCACAGCAGCCTAGAGGTCTCATCTCTGCATTCTGTGTGTACACCTGGGAAATATCCGCCAGCCTGCGACACAGCACGTCCGCCGTGATGTCATAGCCAAACTTATATTTCCACTCTCCAGCCTCCACCCGGGCTCGGTGAACCTGTGAGCGGCTGTCCGCTGCAAACAACATACAAGCTTGAACTCCTTAGCTGTTAACACGGACGCCTTTTTAACGATTAATGACACCTGAACGCACCGTTGTGGCCGGTCATCACGCAGCCGATGCGAGGGGTAAGGTGGAACATGTTGGTGACGGTGGAGGAGTCCAGCAGCTTGTCCTGCAGAAAAATCCACTCACATCAGCTTCATCTAGGGTCATACATCACTTTCTAACTGCTAATTAAATGGGATCTAGAAAGGTTGGATGTGACACCAGGTTCTTCGGTGTAGTAATGTGAGAACCTGCCTCTTTATAGGAGCTTCTGCTTCATGCATCTTGTATCTTGTTCCATTTTTTTTTGCTGACTTGAGGAGCGTTTAGCTTCACTGGCTTTAGCTGCTCTGTGTGTTTGTTCGTGTCAGATAACCTACCGGGACTTTCTTCTGCGTGACCACCACAACGCTGTCCGTCCCTCTGACGCCGACGGATGTCAGCCCACTCTGAGAGATGGCTTTGAAGGCATATTCTGCATGAGATCACAACGTTAAACAGGATGAGAAAAGGAAAAAAGTTTTTTTTTTTACAGGAATTTTCATTGATCCGATTGCTGTGGATATAGAACAGATGGTGTTGAAGACATTGAATACAAGAAGGAGCAGTTTTTTAGAAACAAATAAGGATAAAACAGTTGAACCAGCCTGTAGATTTTCAGCTGATTATTAAGAACTCTTCACTAATGCAGGACATCTCTAAGCTGCTGGTGAAGATTCTCAATCATCCAGGTTAAAGTCATTCCAAAAAAGTAAACAAAAACAATCCACTGGACTTTGTTTTTCAGTTTGAGGATGTTTCGCTTCCCATCCAGGGTGATTTTTCGATTCAAAATGTAAGAATTAGCGTTGAATTTGAGGATTTATAGAGTGGACCAAAACAAGGCCTTGTTTTGGCTTAGAAAACATGCAAATTTAACCAGAAGAACTGCTCTGCCCCTTAGGAAAGGGGGTTGTTTGGGTTCTTTGTTAGCCTGTAATACCGATACCTGTCTATGTCTCTGAAAGGAGTGTCTTTAGGGGGAATTGTGGCCTGGCTGAACAGGACCTCTGTAAGAGGGGTTACGATGATAGCTGGAAAGAATCAACTCAATTGCTGCATTGTAGGTTTTTGAAAGCTCGAACCCGAGTCCACCCTCACTCTTTAAGATTGTTTTTTTCTTCCTTAAAGGGGAACGCTGTTTTTTTTTCCATTGGCCCCTTGATTTTATGTTATTACATCATGTTCTACTCACCCATATGAGTTTTGTGTCATTTGGAGCTGTTCTGAAGATATTCCCTTAGGTTTTATCCAAGTAACGTCTTCCTATGAGCAACAAGTTGAAGGCACAAACTAAACTGTTCATAATTTATTATTTATGGTACGCCAGCATTCATAACATGTAGGCCAATCACTGTCCCCCAGACATCCGCGGTTATATTTTTTTATATTTATATGTTTTAAAAACATCAGTGTATATGATGTCATCCGCGTGCGCCAACTACCATTCATTCATCCTGTCCGCTGAACTGCTGCTAGTTTTATTCACATGCCTGGAAGATGTCTAGTGCTACTACCACAGATCTTGCTCTCAAATTGGAATTGAACGATTCAGATTAGCTAGAATGAATAGGCCCCTCTCAAACCACCTAATTTCTTTGTCCAAATTGTGAATATTCTGGTCCTAAAAATGTCCTTTGTCCACAAGGTGTAGATGTACCACTGTCTTCTCCCGAGGAGGTCGCTCCCCTTAGTGTTGGGCCATGCGTCTGTGAAGAGGTTGTTTGGTTTCACCAATATAAAGATCAGAGCATTCCTCACTGCATTCAACTGCATACACCCCTCCGCACATTTCAGTGATTTTAAATTTTTTTTTTTTGCACCTAAATACAAATCAAGCTGTGGGCTTTCCTTTTCTTCATATCCAGCCACTCTGTGGTATTTTGGCTCATGTTAAAGGGTCCAGTTTCATTTCTTTAGACATGGTCTCACATTTCCCTCAGTACGGCTCAGATTTACAGTAAAATTCATTGATTCTGTGAGAGTCGCCTGGTCACATATTCTGAAACAGAAAATCATCCTAAAACCATGACACTTCCACTCCCATACTCCACGTTGTGAGAATTTTTTTATTTTTTTTTCCCAGAATGCTGTTTAATAACAATTTCCAGGTGTTTGAGCTCATCTTCCAAGTTTATTTTTATACCTTTAGAGTTCGTCCTGTTTGCTTTACTTAATTTTTTCCCTGAGATACTCCAACTTTCTGTGTTTACTTCCAATCAGTGTTAATTAGTCTTTCTCCTTCAGCTGTTCTGCCTTCTTTTAACAAAAGCTGGTCCCATGTTATTCAGACTGGCTCTTCTAATTAGCTTATCACTTCTCTAAGCCTGTAAATAAATGCTGTTATTCTCAATGTTCTCCATTAAATTCTTCCCTCACTCTGCTTGCTTTCATAATGGTATTTCAAATATAGAGCAAATTTTTTTAAACAACAGAAGTTGTACAGAAGTTTCCTGCTTGGAAACCTCTCATGGAAGCCAAACTTCTCTTGTTGGATCCTTAGGCGTGCTTCTTCATATCTATAGAGCTGTAGTTCCCGCTGATGTTTAAGCAACAGCCGCTTCACTAGATGTGGATGTATCTCTGCTGTAGAAATAACTGAACTTGTGTTTGCTGTGACATCACTGAATGATTTGAATGTATATATTTCATATTGACCACAGGTCACATGTTTTATATATGGTATATATAGTATTGGTTATATTTGTTACACTGACATCCAGCTTTCATTGCTCCCCCCAACCAAACCCCCCCTCCCACCTGATCTGATTTAAATGAGTGTTTTGGTGAACTCCATCACTACTTTTCTAATACCTTTCTTAAATTAAACTGTGATAAAACTGAGTTCATACTACTTGGCATAAAAAAAAATTTAAAAAACTTTCCAAATCCAACATTTTTCCTCTTCCATTCATCACTTCTTTCCACTTCCCTCAGGTTAAGAGTCATCAATAGTGTCCTGATGTCCTTCGTCCTTCCCGTCCCACATCAGTAATGTCCCTGGATCTGCCTGCTTCTACCTGACCATCACAGCCTGACTATGATTTAATTTCCCGTCTCTTTGGTCTTTCCGGTAAATCCTTTCTAAGGTTAAAGAGTTTAGAACCACCTAACCCTCTCAGTTGAACCTGGTGTCTTTTTTCATCTGTAATATTTCTGTCCTTCTCTAAATGTTAACTGTATTGAACGTTGGCTTTTATCTGTCCTTGAGTATCCTGAAATAAATTTCTAAATATAACGTATTAATATTGTTTTAAGTATTTGTTCAGTTGTTCAAAATGTTTTATTATGACCAAAAAATTGAATGTATTTTATTTGATTGTTGTGACAGACTGATTCAAAGTGGTTCAATCTTTACATAGATTTTAGGACAGGATTTAGACCTGGACTTTGACTAGGCCATTCTAACACATACTGCTGTAAGGTTTGATATAAAGCTCTCCACTCCTGGTTGTATGTTTAGATTAGCCTCTAGCAGGATTTTCTCCTGTATTTCATTATATCTTTATAAGTCACAAGGCAGCCACTGCATAATGNTTTTTTTCCCAGAATGCTGTTTAATAACAATTTCCAGGTGTTTGAGCTCATCTTCCAAGTTTATTTTTGTACCTTTAGAGTTCGTCCTGTTTGCTTTATTTCATACTTCCCTGAGATACTCCAACTTTCTGTGTTTACCTCCGATCAGTGTTATTTAGTCTTCCTCCTTCAGCTGTTCTGCCTTCTTTTAACAAAAGCTGGTCCCATGTTATTAAGACTTGCTCTTCTATTCTCAATGTTCTCCATTAAATTCTTCCCTCACTCCGCCTGCTTTCATCGTGGTATTTGAAATTTAGAGCTAATTTTTCTAAACAACAGAAGTTGTACAGAAGTTTCCTGCTTGGAAACCTCTCATGGAAGCCAAACTTCTCTTGTTGGATCCTTAGGCGTGCTTCTTCATATCTATAGAGCTGTAGTTCCCGCTGATGTTTAAGCAACAGCCGCTTCACTAGATGTGGATGTATCTCTGCTGTAGAAATAACTGAACTTGTGTTTGCTGTGACATCACTGAATGATTTGAATGTATATATTTCATATTGACCACAGGTCACATGTTTTATATATGGTATATATAGTATTGGTTATATTTGTTACACTGACATCCAGCTTTCATTGCTCCCCCCAACCAAACCCCCCCTCCCACCTGATCTGATTTAAATGAGTGTTTTGGTGAACTCCATCACTACTTTTCTAATACCTTTCTTAAATTAAACTGTGATAAAACTGAGTTCATACTACTTGGCATAAAAAAAAATTTAAAAAACTTTCCAAATCCAACATTTTTCCTCTTCCATTCATCACTTCTTTCCACTTCCCTCAGGTTAAGAGTCATCAATAGTGTCCTGATGTCCTTCGTCCTTCCCGTCCCACATCAGTAATGTCCCTGGATCTGCCTGCTTCTACCTGACCATCACAGCCTGACTATGATTTAATTTCCCGTCTCTTTGGTCTTTCCGGTAAATCCTTTCTAAGGTTAAAGAGTTTAGAACCACCTAACCCTCTCAGTTGAACCTGGTGTCTTTTTTCATCTGTAATATTTCTGTCCTTCTCTAAATGTTAACTGTATTGAACGTTGGCTTTTATCTGTCCTTGAGTATCCTGAAATAAATTTCTAAATATAACGTATTAATATTGTTTTAAGTATTTGTTCAGTTGTTCAAAATGTTTTATTATGACCAAAAAATTGAATGTATTTTATTTGATTGTTGTGACAGACTGATTCAAAGTGGTTCAATCTTTACATAGATTTTAGGACAGGATTTAGACCTGGACTTTGACTAGGCCATTCTAACACATACTGCTGTAAGGTTTGATATAAAGCTCTCCACTCCTGGTTGTATGTTTAGATTAGCCTCTAGCAGGATTTTCTCCTGTATTTCATTATATCTAAATAAGTCACAAGGCAGCCACTGCATAATGCTTCCACCACCATGCTTCAGTGTTGAAGGGGGATAAGTCCAATAAAATGAATTTTTTTTTTTTGTATGTAGACAAAAAGTTTCATTTTAATGGTTAGTTCAGATAAATGGCCATTGCATTTAGGCTTTGCTCTTTCTCTGTCATGATGATTTATGATCACTCTGAGAGATACTCAGAGCTTGTGATACTGTTCTCTTCATTAAACCAGCTTTAAAATGTCTCTCTGACCTGTCTGTTGTGTTTCTGCGTCTGCATTTGTTCACCAAGCTTCTTAAATTTCGGGGAGTGTTGGCCTAGTGGTTAGAGCAGAGCGCATGTGTTCTGAGAAGGTTTCAAGCACTCGGTTCGATCCCACAGCTGAGATAAACCCTAAACCCCACACCGCTCCCCAGGTGCCGCACAATGGCAGCCCACTGCTTCCAAAGGAGATGGTTTAAACGCAGAGACTGAATTTATCCAATGTGAGATCAATAAAGTTCAATTAATATTATTAAATGAGTTCCTCCTATAACATCTGAATTCATGCTGGGATTAAATTAAACACAGATTAATTTTTTATTCTAACTACAGGGTATCAACAGGTGGACCTGAAAACAAATGACTGCCACACTTTTCAGTTACAAAGGGCAGTTTTATTCAGACGCCCTGAATCCAAAGCCTCTGTGATGTCAGGCAGCCAAACCTGGCAACCTACCTGCTTTCATTTGGCTTTAAGTTACTCTAAACGCCAAAATTTAAGGTTATATGTGCTAAGAATGACTTCAGAGTTTCATAAAAGGGAAAGAATTTTTAAAAATCAACGTGCGCTTTGATAGGTAGGAGAAACAAAGAAAGAAAAAGTGTAATGCTAACAGCTTTGTCACACAGATTAGTGACCAACTTCCTGTGTTTCTGAGTAATTAACAGTTAATAAGGAGTTAATGAGAGAAATGGGTCCAGCTGCTTCCCTCAGAGGGGGAAGCAGAAACAGGTCCTTACCGACTTGGTAGAGTCGGCCCTCAGGTGAGAAAATGGTGATGTGTCGGTCGAAACCTGCGTTGGAGCCGCGGGACATTTTCCTCCTCCGGGTGTGACCTCAGGTGAACTCTGCGTGGGGCCTGGCGTGACCTGCGTGGAGCAGGAGGGTCGAACGAAGTGGAGCTTTGAGGAGTCAGCAGGTAGGAAACGGCATGGCCTCTGAATGATAAAGCAGGATAATGGAGCGACTTCCCTGAATTTTCTTATTTTTACTTTCTCTTTCAGTTAATGACGCTCCGTCCCCTCTCGCGCTGCTATTGGCTGGAAACCCGGAAGTTCAGCGGAGCATGTTCACCTTACAGAGAGGTTATTAAGAAAAGTTTTAGGAGGTATGATTGGCTATATGTTGTGCTTTATTATACTGTATTGATTGAGTCTGTCATTATTACTGTTCCAAATAAAGTTATATATATTAAAAAAAAAAACTCACAGAGAGACTTTATATCCAGCCATGGAGTTTATACACAAACAAATGATAACACTTTATTTACTATGTATGCTTTAAGTCATATATTTTGCATTAAATACATAGGAAGTTAAAGTATATCGAAGAGCTTCAGAGGCGTAGCTAGAACATTTTTATAAAGGTGCCCAGGCAATAACTAATGTACACTGAGGGGGGGCCCAAAGGCCCAAGAAACTCAGGGTCATCCTACACTGTTCCAACACAAACATTTATGAGCACGTCCATATTTTCTAAATAAAGACACACTATACTTTCCTACAACCTTTTGCCAGTAAAAAAATTTAAACATCCGTGCTTTCTAGGTAAAAGGTATAGTGGATAAAAATCTTTCAGGTCCGCGTTCTGGGTTACATACTTTTATCCAGGGGTTGACGTTAAGGATTTTTACCATTTGCCCAAAGGGCAAGTGGCTTTCACATTTAATTTGCCCAGATACAATTTTTACTTGCCCAGTATAATGTTTGATAAATATAGTTTCCAATATTAATTTTTGTATATATATCAATGAAACATGCTTATTTTTTTTAAATATATTTTTTTTATTCAGTATTTTTTAAGTTTCCAGGTTCCTGGTGTGTATATGCATGCGTCAGATAATGAACTCAAGCCTACCTTACCGTGTTAACATGCTTTTCAATCCTTCCTGCACATTTTCAAACCAAACTTTGCTTTAAACTGTTGTGTGCTTGGAAAAATATAAATTGTAATGTTAAAAATCTAAAAAAAAACTTGACAGGTTAAAACCTTACACTACTACTACTCACCAATTTAACATGTTTAGCTCTATAACATTTAAATGCACCACTCCAATGTCTAAGAGAAAAAAAATTAATGAACATTTTTTAATGTATGACCACTGTACAAAAGACTGCCATATGATAGAAATATTTACACTGTGCGCATACAGTTATTATTATTTTCCTAATCCCTGACTGATCATTTTTAATCTAGCATGTATTATAGTATAGATTCAATTCATCATCCAGCT